CTTTTCTTTTTTCTTTTTAACCAGGTGTGATTATTGTTCCAAGTGCTGGTGTTGGTATTGTCCTAGGAGGTTACATTATAAAAAAACTGAAACTTGGTGCAAGAGAATCTGCAAAACTAGCAATGATTTGCAGTGGAGTATCTCTGTTATGCTTTTCAACGCTCTTCATAGTTGGATGTGAAAGTATTAATCTAGGAGGTATAAATATACCATATACAACAGGGTAAATATTTTCAGCTCTTTAAATAATTTATGCTTTGCATCAAAGCCAGCCTTTTGGCAGTATAAAAAGCAGTATCTTTTTCATAAGTATATTAAATAATTTAAAAGTGTCTTAATAAGTAAGAACCAAAGAAATATATTGTGTAATCATGGATTGAAATACACTACAAGAAATAACAATTTGTCTGCTGTGTTCAAATAAACAATCTCTGATGAGTATTATACAGAAAATGCAAAGAACCTAATCTGAAAAATACACAGTGTTTTTAGATACACACATATCATATATTAAGGGTCATTTTCATCATTCATGGGATATTGTTTTGGGGATCATAGTATTTTTGGGGTTATGCTCTTCTAAATGTGAGATAAATTAATTTTAATGGAAGAAATCTGATATTAGGACATTTCCAAGCTTGACCTTGGAAAGTTTCCTAAAACAGGAAAACACAAAGACATGGATTTTGAAGGATCTTTAGTGCTTTCAGTATTCTATTTTCTCTCCAATCTGAGTATTTTTAGAACAGATTTTGACATTTGGTTGGATGAATCAGAATTTCTCTCTCTCCCTCTCCCTCACACACACACATACACACACCTATTACATTCTTATACAACATAAATATTTATTTCCATAATATAGAGTTAATATTGCAAATTATGATAATGACCATTGGCCCAAGAACTTTAAATTGGTGATGAGGAACTACATCTTCAGAACATAAATTTATGAGCTCATTTAGCCATTCTAACTAAGTGAATGTAGATGTTTGGATGAATGACCAAGGCCCAATTTTGTCCAGGGCAAGAAAGATAAAAGAGCTTTGACACTAATCAGCTTACCCTCTGAAAATCAGCCACAATTGGTTCATTGCTGTCATTCATTTACTTAGGCAAAAATAAGTTATATAATACTATAGCTTATATAAGAGAGCATATACAAACTGTAGCTATAAGAAATTCATTTCTAAAATTTTATTTCAAATTTTACATACGGTATTTCTCAGTTTTGCATCTGTTGGTTGTTTAATTTGGCTCTATACTCTTTAGTAAAGAGATTTGGGTTTTTTTGCCCTAATTACTATAGTTCACCTGTTGGGGCTTATATTTACTAATAATTAACCTTAATTATTGAGTACATGGCTAAGAATTCTTCATTCAAAACTATTTCCCTAAACTAAAATTTAAAAAAATAGTGAATATATATAAAATTACCACGTGTTTATAATGGAAGAGTAGCTACAAATAATGGTTCATTTTAAGACACAAAATAGATTGCATTTTAGAGGAAAGTGAAGTGTGTCTTGCTCGTATCTACAACAATAAGAAACCTACTTGAAAGTTTAGGCTTGTTTGCATATTTGTTGATGTGCTTGAAATTTATGCATATATACATGTTTTGGGGATAAGCAGTATTATGTAGAACATGGATAAGAAGAAAAAACAAAACAAAATATTAAACATATTGAGCTAAATCAAAGAAAAGAAACATAGCTAAGACAGATTTCTATCCATGCCATTCACTGTATCTCTTCAGTTCATTATTAACTACTTTTGTGCTTTAAATTTATCTCTTTATAAAGATCTCAACTCCATCTGACCACAGTGCTATTGGTATTTGTCCTCCTCTCAGCCTACTCATTCTTCCATTATATACAAGTAGTCCTTGACTTACGACCACAATTGAGCCCAAAATTTATGTTGCTAAGTGAAACATTTGTTAAGTGAGTTTTGCCTCATTTTATGACTTTTGTTAAGTGAATCACTACATTGTTAAGTGAATCACTGCAGAGCTCCAGCAAAGCCTCCCAGCCAACGCCGATCTCCCCCAACTCCCCTCTCCACTACACTTTCTTCCTTCCTTCTCTCCTTCTCATCTCTTTCCTTCCTCCACGCTCAGGAAGGGGTGATGGGAGGGGGAGAGATTGCCAGCGCTGCCATGTTGCCGCTGGTCTTGCTATCCCGTGTGGGTGGGTGGGCTGTCCCGGTGAAAGGAAAGCCTCGCTGCGAGGCTGGAGGTGCTGGTGGGAGGGGTGGTGGCGCTGATCTATGTACTACCTAGTTGTGTCCATCAAAGCCAGAATGCGCTCCACGGGGCAGCCCTGCTCTTCCCCCTGGGCGCATGCGCAAGCAGAGTCCGGCATTCCTACTGGCTGTCTTTCCCCACAAGCTGACTTCACCCAGGACGCCGGCACTGGCCGTCTCCTGTGCACACACCCACAGGGGGCAGGACAGAGACAATGGGGTAGCTTTTTGCTGGTTCCAGTGCTCCCCCGTGGATCTAAGGCTGAGCGCATTCTGGCTTTGATGGACGCAGTATCTTGGGAATTCTGAAACATGCAGTGGGCTTAGAAAAGTTTTGACATATTGATAACTTCCCTCAACTAGTTCTTCAACTGTGTTGGGATTGTGCTGGCTGAAGATGATGAGAATTATAATTCAAAATAGCTGTAGCCATCAAGTTGTAGATATAAAGTAATCCATTATTTTTTAATAAAATGCCAGTATTCATACAGTGTATAAAAATAAAATGTAAAGGCATGATAGAGATCTTCCAATAATCAGCAGACAATATGTCTAGACTTTACATATGTCTATGTATGTATTTAGTGGAGGGCTGTGAAATCATGGTGATCAGGGTTGAATTTAATGGTCAGTGAAAGGACAGGGCTTTAATGGGTGAAATGAAGAGTCCACGTGATTAGGAGGCATCATACACAGAAGGAGTCAGGATTTTTAAAAGAGATTAGGGTGTCTCCCCTTTTAAAGGCTTTTATCCTATCCCTTTTTTTCATATACAACTCAAGGTGACAAACTTATTAATACTCCCTTCTATTTTCCCACAGTAACAACTGAGGTGAATTGGAAGTTAAAGAGGATGACTAGCCCAAAGTAACCTAGCCAGTTTTTCATGCCTAAGACAGGACTAGAACTCACAGTCTCTGGCTTCTAGGCCAATGCCTTTACCACCCCACCAGGCTGATTCTCTTTTAAAAGGATTGCTTAACCTATCTAGGCTAACATTATAGTTTTTATATATTTCCTACTTTACAATATTAGAAAACTAAAATTTATAATGTGGTTAGATAGAATTTTAGGAGCTGCAGAAATGATGCTTTGGGGACTTAATGCAAGAAGCGCTGGTGTTTCTCTAGCATCACATCTTAGTGGATCTGTCTGCCTAAAAAGTATAGCTTGATTTGTATCTTTAAAAGTATATGATTTTGGGAAATATAAGATTCTTCTGCAATGAATAGGTATTATAACCTATCCCCCCCCCCCATCCTTTTTTTAGACCTACTCTCACCATGGCACATAGGAATCTGACTGGAAGCTGTAATGTTAATTGTGGCTGCAAAATCCATGAATACAAACCTGTGTGTGGATCAGATGGGATCACATATTTTAACCCTTGTCTTGCTGGTTGCATTAGCAGTGGAAATTATAGCACAGGAGTGAGTATGTCTACAAGCAATCAAAGTGGTAACTTTTGTTGCTGTTAGAAAAGCAACGTATGCACCAAAGATAACTTCTATTTTCAGTATTGTAGATCACAAAGTTGTTTTCTTAATAGTCTAGACTCTAGACAGTAACATTATAGTAAAATGCCTGTTCTGCATATAAAAAAAATCTTACGCATCAAAGATTATGAAGCATTCATATATGTGGGGTAGCCAAAATAATTGTTATACAATAGTGATTTGCAGCTGTTAGATGTTTTTATTTATTTATCTGTTTCTGACAGAGGCATGTGCAAGAATTTTTATGCAGCTACTCCTACTGTTAGATCATCCTCTACTGTCTTTTGGTCTGAGACGTAGATCTCAGGATATAAATTTGAGCACAGTATACATTCACCATTTTTATGGTTTCCTGGTAAGGCAAAAACCCACAGGCACATATAACCTTAGTTGACTTTATTAAAATGCATTATAATTTCATTGGCTGTGAGTACATGCCCAGACTGCAAGAAGATGATCACTGAGTTCAGTTATGGGGCAAAGATGTTGTATATATAGGGCCTGAATGTCATAGTCATTCAATAGTCATCCCCTATTGATCAGTCCCTTGCAAATCCCACAAAAAATTCTTATATGCCCCAAGCATGCCACCTTCCTATGGATTATGTAGTCAAAGTTTTTTCTTGTGTGATAAGATTTCAGAGAGCATGTGCTATTGGAAACTTCTTGTCATAAAAAGTCCCCTCCTCAAAATTAGAAAGGCTTGCAAATATCCCTAGGTTCTCCTTGTCTTCTGTTCACGCGCGATAAACATAACTGTGGAGGTTATTTTTGCATAGTTCGATAAAATGGCAATTTCAATACTGCACTGGCACAGCAGGAATGCTGTGGGCCCTGTCAATCAAGGAATTTCAGCTGGCAGGGTCCTGTAGAAGGGCCTTCTCTGCCGTGGCTTTTGTCCTTTAGAACATCTTATCCTGTGAGGTGAGATAGGTACCCTCTTTCTGACCTTCCATAAAGACCTGAAGACCTGGCTCTGCCAGATGGCTTGGGGCCCCAACAGGTGAGCATCACACTGGAGGTGGTTGATGAATTAAGAGATAATCCCACCTCACACCCTTGCTCCTCCTGCTCCCTCCCTCCCCATCTCTTAACTATAATTTTATTTTTGGTTGTAACTCCATTTTTATCATTTTAGAAATATTTGTCTTAACAGTTTTAATGCTTTTAGTGCTGTAAGTCGCCCATAGTCACTTTGAAACAAGATGGGTGGCAAATAAATTTAATAAATAATATGAATGCTACTATGGTCAGCATGTTCAGCAGATTGCCTGCTAGAATCAGAAGATTTTCTAATTAAATTATTAAAACCAACAGTTTTTCCTTTTGAAGGAATGGAAATATTTCATCAAGTTTTCTGTAACTCTTTTATCTATAATTATGGATGATCCCTCTCCTGCATGAAGTAAATGGAGTACAAATCTTCTTGGGAGTTGCCCATTCTGTAGAGATTTTGTTTGTGGAGGTATAAAATTCCCCGTTCCTCCTTGCTTTTTATAAATATTTAAAGCCTAATTATTTCTCTAAGCATTTCGGTGTATGGACTGGTACCCCTAGGCCACATTGGCAGTCTGTGCCACCTCTAGCCAATGCCACCTCTCCACTAATGCAAAGATTTGTATTTTTACAATGATTCAGAAGGAGGGAAAGTGTTGGTGCCCCTAACCTTTGGTGCCTTTGGTTTTACCTGTTTGGCCTTAGCCTAAAGCCAACTCAGGACTGTTAGACATAGAATTTTGATACTGTGTTCTCCTTTAATGTATGCTTTTTCCTTGTTTCTGTGAACTTCTTAAGACTAGGTAATGAATGCTTTTTAAAATTTTGCACTTTTTAGGTTGCTATTTGCAAAAAAACACTATTAACTTTATGACCAGGAAGGCCTTTCTTAAATCTTCCCTTTAAAACATTCAGTTCAGTTATTTTGAAGTACTGTTACAATTTTTTCTCTATAAAATTCTGCCTTCAGATGAAGAGTACTTCTTATCTGTTGTAATTTTCCTGGCAGTATTGTGCTTTACTTAGAGCCATAAATAAGTTGAAACACATGTACCAGATGCAAATATTCTTGATAAAGATACAAATAAGGAATCATGATTTTTTTTACACTTTTTAAATCTTTTACAGATAAGAAATTATACAGATTGTGCCTGTGTCCAAAGCCGACAAGTTATCACACCACCCACAGTTGGACAGCGTAGCCAGCTAAGAGTGGTGATCGTCAAAACATATCTCAATGAGAACGGCTATGCTGTATCAGGAAAGTGTGATAGAACCTGCAACACACTCATCCCTTTCCTCATTTTTCTCTTCATAGTAACACTTATCACAGCATGTGCCCAACCATCAGCAATCATAGTAACTCTCAGGTGAGAAATTGCCTGGATCATTTCTGTCTACTAGGATAGCATTCTTTATTATAACTCAATTTCTCTTGTCATCTTCCACAAAACATAATTCACCTTTACTTTTCTGATGATGAATTAAGTTATTTCTAGAAATAGATGGATTTACAAAATTTGATTTCACTCATCTTTTCATTTTGTTGAATTGATGATACATAATATATGAATCAACATGTTTTATAATTGTAGAAGTCAGAGAGGGTAACTTATGTCTGGAAGGGTATTTATTATTGGTTAGGTTACAGGATGCTAGGAAGAATGGGAAGACAATTTACTTAGAAAATAAATCTATTTGTCAATCTAGATTTTGACTGAATCTATTTGTCATCAGAAATGTAAGGAAATTTTCTCACTTTGCTTCCTGGATAAAGTTTTTGTTTCTCTGAATTTCTGAATTTGATTCTATTGAACACCTGTCTCCTGTGTGGTTGGTGGCTAGCATTGGGTCATTGTCCTGGGATATGGGTAAGGAGAAGAGTTATAGCAACAGTTAAGTAGTCATACCTACCATTTTCCCAGTTCAAGAATTTAAAATATACTGTATCTTTTTTTAGGTCTGTGGAAAATGGTGAGAGGCCTTTTGCCCTTGGCATGCAATTTGTTTTATTAAGAACTCTTGGTAAGTGCACAGGCAGATTTAGTGCTTCAATTGACTATATTGAAATATTATGTGAATTGGTAGAGAAATTGTCAAGGCAACTGAAAATAGCACTTAAAAAAAAGTTTCCCTGCATATGATCTGACACTTTTGATGGGGTCTTAATTAAAAGAGGCTTTTTATTGGAGGTTTCTTTTGCTTCTCAGGTTTTTTTAAACACACACACACACACCCTTGTACTTCTACAGTGTCTGGGGTGGATGTATCAGTTATCCACTCTTGCTGATCTGGTTTAAGCCTACATTGCCATTCCCCCTCCCCTATTTCTCTACTGTAATCATGGGGAGAACTTCATAAATGTTCACTTTCATTTTAGCGTAACCATGAATTCTCATGTGTTCTTGATAACACTTTTGTTAACTTTAAATTTGATTTGTTTATAACAGAATCTATGCACCAAATGCTACGGTTAGCTAAAATTGAATATGTGGTTATATAAAAGGGTCAGGGTCAGGGTCAGGCACAAAGTTGGTGGGAATACTAGCAATAGTACTCACTATGAAATCAAGCACAGCTACTAAGTGCTGAGGTAATTTAGTAGCTGTTGTTTGGAATAAACTTCCAGTAACCTGAAGTAGGGCCTTATTCTGGATTTATAGAAAATGACCAACCAGTTTACCTCGGTATTCTCTAAAACTTTAACTATTAAATTTGACTTAAAATGTATTATTAATATTTTAATACTTTAAAGTTATTTTAACATTTGAAATTCTAATATTTTAAGAGTGTTAGTATTGGATTGAGCTCCATGAGGTAGTACTCATTTAGATTTATATGAGTTACTGTATGTCTAATGTTGTGGTGATAACAGCTAGTTTTGCTGGCTCCATTGCTTTGCTGTGCAACTCAGTGAGTCTCCAAACAGTTGATCAGCGCACAAGCACCATGGCTCTGCTCTTCTCTTAACCAGTTCACAGAATTCTTAAAAATTCAACAATTGTCTGTCGTATGAGATGTATCTAGCACTCCATTGGATATAATTCAAAACAAATAAAAATGTACTAATGGAAAGAGTTAAAATTTAATATTCTCATCACTTCTAAATCAAGTAGTTTATCAGCATCTTATGAGAATTCTGTCTCATTCTGTTTGTATGTAATGTGATATATATCCTAGCCAAAATTGCTTAAAAATAGAAATATTATAGGTTTGGCTTTGCTATGTACTTTCTCAAAAAATACTCAATCACTGTTTTGATATAGTTGATTGATTTCACTTTCCCTTTTTATTACAGCATACATTCCTACCCCAATTTATTTTGGTGCCGTCATTGATACTACCTGCATGCTGTGGCAACAGGAATGTGGTGTGCAAGGCTCATGTTGGGAATATGATGTGACGTCATTTCGTTTTGTGTACTTTGGTCTGGCAGCTGGTCTCAAATTTTTTGGCTTCCTATTCATTTTCCTTGCCTGGTACACCATTAAGTATAAAGAAAAGAAGCAGCAAAGGCAGCTGTGGGAAGATGCTCCTGTCAGCACTGTGAGCGCAGTAGTGTGTAACAAAGTTGCTCAGCAAAACTATGCAAGGACTAGATCCTGCCCCACGTTTAGCTCTCAAAGTGACCATGGTAACAATGTCAATCTAACAACAACAATGCATTACACAGCACAAACCTATCCCGGCCCCCTTACAATAGAAGCAATAACCACATCAGTTGAGAAGCCTTCACAAGAAGTCACTCCTGAAATAGATGGGCCCCTTCAGTAACTTCAGATTATTATTTATTTGTACATATTAAGTATGGGGCCTTTTGAAACTCCTGTGCCTTCTTTTTCCTAACAAGATCTGCCACTGATAATAAACCAACAAAGCTTAATGCATAGAGCCATGGCTTATCTGAGGGCTGGTTACCTCCAAACAACTTTTTCTTTTTGGGAACTGTAATGTTAAAGTAGGTTTGCAAGTCCTTTAGGTATGTCTATTCAAGTTGCATGTTCCAGGCAAATGCTAATAGATTCTCTTGCGAAAATCGGTTCGGATAGAAATGTATGCCATTGGTGAAGATAATGCATCCATGAGTCTTGAACTAGGGAAGAACAAGTAATTATTTTTAATTCTATTTCAAAGCACAACTTACCTTAGCTATGCAATGTGAACTGGATAATTTGTTTGGTTCTGTGTATTTTTAAATCAAAATTTTAAATCACTTGATTTGGAAAAGAGGCTATTTGAAGTGATAAAATCTCCAATTAAACATTTTATTTTAAGAGATAGAACAAATAATCTTAAAACAAATCAATAACAGGACAAGTTATTGATAATTTGTTTTATTTTAATATGTAAGTGTATTTTTAATTTTTATTGCAAATTTATAACTTAGTGATTTCAGTACTATTTTGTAATAACGTTAAAGCGTAACAAACGTATCAATAATTACTGGTTGGTATTTGCATATTTTTGCAAGAAGGAACAATCGGCTGCAGATTTCCTATTGAGTCCACCAAATCCAAACTTAAGATTACTTTTGTTTCTGTGCATGCAGAGACTAACCTTGATTGTGTGGCAAACTGAGATGACTCTAGTATCTAATCTTCTGCTGGTATGGTACACTGGTTATTTGTTCTGACACATGGCCCAGATTGCTGTTTATATACCTCATCATGCCCTAAATATCAATCTGAGCATATGCTGGTACAGTCAAATGACTGCTTTGCCAAGTTGTCTACTCTTAGGTTCCTACTGATTCATGAGGGAGAATTACAAGCCTTAAGAATCCATTTCATATTAAAGGCTTGTACAGACCGGCTTATAGTTCAGCATTTGGAGCCTACTACATTTCTTTGTCAGCAATGGAAATTATCTTGGGCATCCTGATCTGATTGTCACTTTTTCATTACTGGAAAAAAAGGTGTGTGTTTATAGATGCCAATATCTAGAAAAGCTGAGACTGAAACTACACATAATATTCAGTTGTGCAGCTCTTTCATCCTGCCACTAAGGATTTTTAATGCAAAAGATCTACCAGCTTGAGTGGAACATTTGCAAGGTAAGTCGATGCTTATAGATTTTCCATCCTGCCATCAAAATTATACATTTCAGCTGTTTTTTCATATTGTTAGCCCTCTTATCTTTTTCTTCTTGGAGGAGGAGGAGGAGTTCTGAAGAGACGAATGGCAAGAATAAATTACTGCTTTTTGCATTTGCCAGTATTATTTCATCTTTTAAAAAAAAACGTTAAGGGAAAAATCATGCCTCTGAGGCTTACATATTGCTAAAATCAAAAGTACAGGTTAGCTTTCCATTGCACAGATATGCTAATACACTTTAAAAAAGTGTGATTCATAGGCAATACTCGGGTATATTCCTGAAGAGGTCACAAAAGCCTTGTTCGGATCTCTTTTGGAAGTGTTATGTCTCATCCAATTGCACTGTGCTATTTTTGAGTCTAACATATTTTGTTACAGTATTCTGTTGTCTGATTCTGAGGTTAGAGGGATCTCTTAATTCACACAGTGAAGAGCAGTTCCTTAGGCAGGACCAATTTGATGTTCAGGATAAATTCAAAAGGGGCTTCTGAGATGTAGCTGTCAAAAAGTTGAAATGAGAATATGGTCAGGCCCCAACTCCTTCTGCATCCCTCAAATAATCTTTAGAGTGGTAATCCATTGAGAGGAAATGCCTATTAGCAGGGGATGTAAAAAAAGTGAAATAGTTCATAAGGCAATGAATAAGCAATCAAAGCTCAGTTGCTAAGGCCCTGTAGAATGTGCATAGGGTTTATGTTAATGGATATATATTGAAGAAAAATGAGGTTAGGGAATAATTGATAGAGGAATTTGAAGAGTGGGAAGACACCTTATATTTATCAGGTTGTGTTCTAAATTTTTGAAATTTAGCCTATCTGAACTAAGCCTATGTATGACGTTGCATTCTGATGCCATGTATTGAACATGTATAGTGTTAGCTTGCTGGTTGAATGGCCAGTTGCTGTCTTCTCAGACATACATCTTCCAAGTACCGTGCATGTCCATGTACTTTTATTTTGTCACTGCAGTAGCTTAAAAGAGCAATAGGTTAGCCATGCTCTATGTTTCCTAATTTCGGTATTATTTTTTTTAAGCTGTGGAAGAGAAACTAGAGAGCATGCACCAATGTAATACTTCAACATATAACTAAAGAATTTTGTTATCTCTTTGTCCCATCCTAGATTAAGTGTTAAATCTTTTCATAGTGTATATAATGTACATGGATGTAGATTGCTACAAATACTAATATATGTTTATTAATATAGTATTAAGATTATTTATGCAAACCTACCATTGCCTCAAAAGTGTCATTATTCATTCACTATTGATTGCATACTTGAAATTTGGAAGTAGAAAGTTTATCCAATTTGTTGGCTAATTGTAATCTACCAAGAGAATGTAAAGAGAGAACTCAAAAGGGAGGAAAGAGAACCATTTCAGCCTGAAGGGGATCAGTGCTCATATTTGCTTACATGGAAGTACAACTCTCTAAATGTACCTTAGTGTAATGTAAGGTTTTAATTTGCACTGACAACTTTACTCCTATCATAGCAAATGTGAGTATAGCTCCCTTTCAGATCTGCTTTCTGCATCTATGGAGATAGGAAACAGGTGGGCCTAGTTTTGAGCTCACCATGTATTCTGGAAAACTTTTGAACGGAGCTTCTGAATATACATATTAGTTCATTATGTCATTTAAAAATTGGTACTGTTCTTTTTTCTGCAATGTAGTTATAAAATGGAGAGCGCCCTAGATTGGCATTGGGCAGTTATCCCAAATTTTCTTTTAAAGTATTGTGTACCAGAAAATGTATATTGGTCCTCTAATATAAATGATCAGCTTGGAACTGATCAACTGGTGCTAATGGGATAAAAGAATTCCCTCATGAGGCTGAAAAATATTTCAAATAGCTGCTCAGGTGCTTACTTTGCAGGACTATCAGCTTAAGTTTGCAATATACTCTTGCTCCACAAATTTTCATGAAGTAACACAACTTTGAACTAGTTTAAATATTTTAACTAAAAGAATTGGCTATCATTAGCCAACTAGATACCTTTAATTGTTGAATCTGGAAACAATTTTCTGGCAGAGCATAGCGATAGCCAAAAGACATGATGATCTGGTGTCCTGCCAAGCTTGCTAATTGCTTTACTTTTAGCTATAGTGGTGTGGAAGTCTAGGAATCAAAATTTGGTGCAGCTGAGGAGCAGCTTAGGAGGGAAGGTTTCAGACTATGGTACCGTTGAATGAATACAGAATGTACAATAGATGATCCTTGATTACTCCCAGATTACTGCCCCTCTGTCATTTGGTTAATATTGAACTGTGGTGGTAAAAACAAAAGAATTGTGATCTTTAATTTTTGAACTTTAAAAATAAACTTTCAAAACAGAACTGTTAGCCAAAACCATGTGTAGTTAAAAAAAATACACTGTATGCTGAAGAATCTAAAAAAAAAAACTGTTCAAAAAGAATCCAGGTTTGAACTTAATATTCTTAAATATGCAATTTTGAATCATTACTTTTTTTATACTTCACACACTCCCCCATTAATAAATAGACAAGATTGTATATTTTTTCCATTGATTTCAGGAAAACAGCAGTATGTTGTATATTGTATCTTGTTTTAACCCTACTATACCTGAAAGAGGGAAAATGTTATTAATCAAGGGGCAGACTAGTTAAAATGTTAAGTTTTGATAAATGTTTTTAAGTGTGTCAGTTAGGAAACTATGACTTGCATCTGTAAAAAAAATGGAGATTTGTGGAATGTTATTTTTTTTTTAATGAAGATTTGAACTAGTATTTATCTCTCAGTGGAACAAAAACCAGTTTTCAAAATCTTACGTACAAGCATGTGTAAAACTTTATGGACAATATGTGTAAATAGCTGTTTGCAAATGAACCTTTAGTACTTGGCATTTTGAAATAAAAATGACTTAACTTTGTGGTGTTTTATGTCACATCTTGTTGTACTATTCCACACTTACAGTATACTTTTGGGGAGTGGGACAGTAGAAAAATCTGCTCTAATCTAAAATAGTTTTGCTGCAGGAATCAATGCAGTGAATATGGATACAGTGCTACTACTTCATTTAGTATGTCGTTGCTGCTTAGCTCAATTGCATCTGTTTTTCATAATTAGCTAATCATTATGCATGAGCCAAATTGCCTGTGTTTTAATCTACCAGTTATATTTATTCATGATCTGTAATGTCACATAATATAAAATTTAATGCCAGTTTTAATATGGGCTCTTATTTTCATTTTATATTATCTCAACTCCAAATTTATTTACCTTTTTTTAAAGGTATTAGTTGACAAAGGCAGTATTTATCATTTAAGAGTCCCAACCAATATTCATCATCATTACTGCAAGCTATTATGTGGTGTGGTATTGACATCCACCATAAATGGACATTTATGAACAGTAATTTTATACCAGCTGAGTGGAGTGTGATTTTACTTTACTGTTTAACAGCATCAAGCTCCTGAAAAGTTTTAGGTTGTTGATTTCATGTTCAAAAGGTACTCTTTTTCCCCCGTTCAACTGTCTATTATGATGTCAGCCAGAGGTTTAGATTAGCTTTGACATTTTTTTAACCAGCTATTGCGTATTTCTCAAGAATCTGGAATGGGCAGATTTTTCATATTAAAGGTATTATCACAGGATGCAAGTTGTTCCAAGTAAAGCTGCCTTTTGCAATTGACTGATAGTAATTTTGTCAGTGCCTCTGGTGTTCAGGTGGTGTGATGTTTTGTGATAGTACCAAGATACCTATTACTATTGGTACTACCTTTATTTTTTTAAATAGTCTTTCTACTTCTATTTTATGTTTTATGATCCCCCCCCCAATTCTTTCTCTTCTATTCCATTGTCTTGTATACAGAAACATGTGAAATCAAGGCTGCCAGTTCTTTAGCTGATACTGACTTTCATACGCATTGAGTTCTTTCTAAGAATTTAGGATGTTTTAATGTATCAGTGTAAATATGTGGAAATCAAAGCAGTGTGGCCTGTGGTAATTGAATAGATGGAATCACTGGGACCACCATAGCTGGTTTATGCCATAACCTTTCAGTTTTAATTTTCAGATTTTGATACTATGTCACCTCCAATTGTTTGCCTCCTATTCTATCCCCTGGTATTACCACATCAATTATCCACACTTTCTTCTTTTCAATCACAGTTAAATCTGGTGTGTTATGAGCCAAGATTTTATCAATTTGTCTCCTGAAATCTCACAATATTTTATCCTGCCCATTTTGATTACTTTTTCAACTTTATGTTCTCACCAATTTTTCATTATGCCACATTAATTTTAATGGATGATCTAGTGAATCATTTTGGCAACTGCATTATGTTGTTGGGTCCTTTTGTATCTGATACATTTTTGCCACTTATTAATTAATCACTAATGCAATATTTATTTATGCAATATTTCATTAAGCTCTTTAGATATAATTGTGTGTAAGTTGGTCAGATATTTGAATCAAAAACCATGCAACGGATCATTTTCAGGAGATGGTTTAATCCTTTTCATTCAGTTTTTAATTATTTATGTTGTTATTAGTCTTTTTGAGTTTCTTCTATATCTTTCCAAAATTTTCCTTTTTGTTTGGTTTTCCATTTTCAGCATTTCTGTTGCCATTTATACTTTGGAAGAATCACCTTTGGTTGATTGAAATAACCAATAGTGCTTAAATTGAATGATTCGCATCTCATAGTGCTCAATTTTTCCAGCTATTGTTGTTATTTGTTGCTTTATGATTTCCAAAGCTTCTTCAGCTTTTCTAGTACTAAGCCAGTATTTTTTTATTAGGCTTGTCTCAATCTTTACATCCTTCAATGTTTGCTCTTTTTAAAATTACTTGTTCTACTTTGGGGATTGAATATGATTTTGCATTTGATTTTTTTAATTTCAGTACCCAGTTCTTCTGTAACCACCACTGTTCTACTGTAGCGAAATTGATTGGTCTGTTGATAAATGTTAATCGTTACAAGTGCCTTATTTACATCCTTCATTATAGGTATCAAGTCTTTTTTAGGCACTACCATTGCTGGCAGTATTGTCTTTCTACTGTTTTCTGCATATGCCATAATTTTTTCTTTTAATTCTTCTTGGTAGTGGGCGATCAATTCATGGGTTAGGGTGGCCTGTAGTGTTCTGTTGTTACTACTTCTAAGTTATTTCTATAGATCATATCAGCTTTTCCTTTATATTTGTATTTGTAATTCTTAACTAAGTTTATTCTACTCTTGTTTTGGGGTCTTCAATTTTCACATTTTTTCTGATGATGATGATTATTATTTGCTTCATAGTAAGCCAGATGTTCACACTCGGTTTGGCATTTCTGTCTACCTATTGAGTCCTTTCCAAGGACTTGGAATAAGCAGAGCTGGATGTTTGATGGTATTACAGATATTGTCACAGGATGGAAGCTGTTCCAAGTAAAGTGGTCTTTTGCAATTGACTGATGGCAAATTTGTCAATACTGATGGTGTTCAAGTGGTGCAGATATTTTGGGATTGCACCCTTTGCTTGCTTTTGCCATAGTCGTTCTATTTCTATTTGTACGTCTTTGTATTTTGTTATCTTCTCCAGTTCTTTCTCTTCTCTTCTGCTGCCTCCAGGTACATCCACTATCCAGACATTTTGTCTTTTTTATTGACATTGTTAAGTCTGAGGTGTTGTGTGTTAGATGCCTGTTTGTTTGAATTCTAAAGTCCCACAGCATCTTCATTTTCTGTGACTTTCTCTATTTTATGATATTTCCAGCTACTTTGTCATGCCATTGCTTGTAGTCCATCTGTGCAGTCTTTTTGCCACAGCTTACCAGGTGGTTGTTTCTTCAGCTTGTTTGCATAGCTGGCACTTATTGTCTGTTGCTAACTTCTCAGTTTTGGCTTTGCATGCATTTAGAGACATAGGATGGAAATGGTGTATTTTCCTGTGGACAAATTAGAAACCATAGTAACCCCTGCCTTTCTCTCTGGTTGTCAGGGAAGTTCTGGATGAAGCTCCTTTCAGTTTATAGCTGTTAATATTTTATCTATCAAATTTAAAAACAACTTGAAAACTAACCAAAGAAATACCACATTGCTGCAGTGAAGCAGAAGGATTTACAGTACAGTAGTAGACTGCTTCAAAAGTCATCAATTTGGTGCTCGAACATTTTGATGCGAAAATGTTGTGCTGGTTCTCGTTGCTTCTTTGGTATTTAGTGCACTGAAAAGGAAGAGGGGGATGGCCACAGAGGGCGGACTGGAAGTCGGCCATGCTGGGAAGGTTACTGATATAGGAAAAAGGACAGACAAAGTTCTTCCTGGCCAAAACAAAGGGTCATGTGGTAAGTCACCTGGTTTGTTTAGCACTCGTAATTTTTAGTACTTGTAGTGACTCTTGGAACCAATTGATGTCAAATACCGAAGTACCACTGTAATTTGGAAGACATTATTTATACTTAAAATTATTCAGTTTCCATTATTTTCTATTGTTTATGCAACCATTGCTCCCAACTGTTCATGTCTACAATTTGTATCTGAGCTTGGATCGTTATTTTAATTCAAGTAACTGCAAAATATTACATGGTAAAACATTTCTTATTAGATTATAAGTTAATACACTGAATTAAAATAATTTAATACCTTTATGAAAATTTGACTTGACTGATTTCTATAAAACAGGTACAGAAACTCTTTATTTGAAGAATTATTGCTTCTAGACTTTCCTGAAGCCAGAATTGTTCTATAAAAGTATTCAAAAAATTCTTACATGAACAGTTTGTAAATCTATTGAATATATATATAAAACTCTATCATTCACATCCTTAAATAAATTTGTTCAGTTTGAGACATGTAAATGATACTCATGTTTACAGAATCCACCAAAAGCTTTTCATAAAAATTATTGAAATGCCTTCAAACAATAAGTAAATGTTATATAAACTAATACAAGGAGCACAGAATTGAACATTAATACATAAATATCAAGGCAATTGGGTTTGACAGAGGAAATTGCAAATTTCTATATAAATGGCAAAAGAGCAAGTAGATTAATTTGTATACATTGGTAATATAATACTTGTATTAAATAAATGGAGCTATTTTAAGATGTGCGGATGCTAGTAGAAAATATATGCTGTGTGGAAGGAATGTTAGAAGAAGCAAAAATGGCTGTTTATGAGAATGTGCTTGTACCCAGATTATTTGGAAATAAGAAAAACTAAGAGTAACCAAATGGTAACCCCAAAAGTGCTTTTTCAAAAGGCAACTGGATTTTATTTTTCTTTGAAGAAATTTCGTTTCTCATCCAAGAAGCTGAAGAAGCTTCTTGGATGAGAAGCGAAACATATTCAAGGAAAAACAAAGTCCAGTTGCCTTTTGAAAAAGCACCTTTAGGACAACCATAACCTGGATGACTGAGAAATTCCGTAGACATTAAACCAAATGGTAATTTGAAATTGGGAACTGAGTACTGCAAAAATGTGAGGAAAAAGAATGAAAGAAAAGGTCAAAAACAAATGTACTCTGAATGTGGAATGAATGCCGAAATATGGGTAAACAATCTGGAACAACATTGGAATTTGGCCATATAGGGCAAATTAATGAGAATTAAATTGCAAAAGAGAATTATGAAGGAGGAGTGAATGGGTTGAAAGGAAATAGGAGGCTGAGATCATTACTGGAGTTGAGCTCTTCCAAAAGGGAATGTGAGAATTTTAAAAACCAAAAGTCAGTACGGGATGCCGCATATGGATTTACTGGAAAAATAAAATTGTGAATGGTGTTGGTATATAAACTACACTTACCTATCTTCCTCTATATTAGGATTTTAATTTCATTGGTTTACTATTGCTCCCTTTATGAGCTTTGTATGCTCTTATTGCAAAAGGAAACAGTGTGGTGGGTACGTTTGCGTGTATTTAATCTATTAATAACATGAAATATTTATCTGGTATTTCATGATTGAAACAGACAATTCTATGTCAACCTTATTTCTATAAATGATTTCTAAAATGTCACTTTCTGCAAATCTTGTAACTAAGAAAACTAAGAATCTTTATTCTGAAGGTTTGAAGGTTTTTTTGTGTTTGTTTGTTTGGGTTCCCTCCCAGCTGGGGGGAAAAAACCTCCAAACCCCACATTTTAGGAACAATCTTTACCTTCATACAATTCCAGATGACTGTATCTATTTTCCCCTGTTCAGATACTATATTCTAAAGCACTTTATTAAACCAACATATGCAAACTGATATTTCTGTGGGAAGCATTCTTTTCCTTGATTCTGGAGAACAGTGGAGAAGTGGTTTTGTACATAACATTATTCCTTGCTGTTTTAAAAGGTATACCTACAATCCAGTATTCTGTATGGCTACATACAGATACGACAATGCAATTGTGCTGTCTTAAATTGTGTTTAAAAAAGGGTATGTGTTGCACATCTGCAAGTGTGCCAAGATGCAATATAATATATAGCATATTTATATATAGAACCTTTCTTTGGACTGGATTTTATTCTAAAATGACTAGAACAGCTGTGAATACATTAAGACCTTTTGCAAAGTAGAAATCGAATTTTCCTGAAAAAATAAAAATCTTAATTACAATTTAGTTCCTATTTATTGGAAAATTAACTCACTTTAACTTTCTGTTAAGTTTCCTGTTTGTTATATCTAAGAAAAAACGTTTCTATGAATCAATTTGAACATAACGGTTTTAAATCAAACGTGAAAATCTGCTCAATATACCAGTAATTGCTTTTTACAATCCATGTACATAATGCATTCTCTATCAATTTCTTTTATTGTTTTGCAAATTACATTGTATTAGCAAAACTAAGAACATGTAGACGAGTCAGATTAATAAAGACTATGGCACAAAGATTACAAAAGGGCATGTAAGTTTACTTTGACAATATGAAATTTCAATGGTTCAAATTAATAAAAAATACTCAAAACATTGGATAAGAATATTTGTTATGAGAACAAAAAAATGAGCTCATTTCCTTTGAAGGTGCATTCACACTACTTTAAAAAATAGAGCTCTGCTAAAAAAGCACAATGGTGCCTTTTTAATTCTCGGATTCTAGTAGCTGCAGTCACATTGACAAGAATTTGTATATAAAATACACACTATGGAATTTTGCTATAAAACGGTTGTTCCATTTGCTACCTAATTAATAGTGTCTGACTTGCTAACACAGGCTAATTTGAGGGGAGTGGATTTGAAGCACTGCCTTCTTCATTCAGAAACTCTGAAGATTTCTGAAAACTTTCCCTTTTTCTCAACATTTCAGTTTTATGTTTCAGAACAAATGTGTTTAAAGCCCAGCTGATTATTTTTGCAGCGGAGTTCATGGGCAGGTAGACTTGCTCTTCAAAAATACCCTGTGCAAAATCTTTGTCTGTCATAGAGGCTTTCTGAATAATGTTAATTGGTTGCAAGATGAAGCTGTGTCTGGACTCCAGTTCTGTCAAATCGTTCCCACTAAAATCCATTTCTGAATTAACTGGCTCTTCAATCTTTAGCCATGTTTTGGCTTGGTGACCGTTTGTACTCCTTTTTGCAGGAATATCATTGCTTAGTTCAAGTCTGCCATCCTTGCTTGACACTACTGTGCTCAAGGTCAGGTCTCCATAATATGTTGGGATGATAGGTTGAGCCTCTAGGGTTGTGAACCCACTCGAAGCTTCATCTGTTTCAGCAGAGCTCATTCCCAGCAAGGAAAATGATGTGGATGATTCATCCAAGTTTTCACTGTTATTAACAGTGGGAGTCTCTGCTCTTTGATTTTGCTTAGAGTAACTGTTCAGCAGTGCAAAGATTCTATCTACATCCTTCAAGTAATTTCTCCAGTCATCAGAATTAATGCTGTAATTGTGTCTGGCTTCATATAAACTTTCATTCACACTGTACAAATCTTCCAGTCCTTGCCAGTTGATACTTTCTGTAAAATTTGGGAGCTTAGCCTTCCCATCCATGCCATAAGTGCCCTCTGTCAAAAAGAAAAAAAAAGGAAACAGTAACATCTTGTAATATTGGATATCAGTCATGTGTAGCTTAGCTCAGATCTGATTCAAATGGCTTTGGTTCAAATCATAATTTAATTTGGAAAGTCAAATCAGTTCCATTTGGCGCTTCAATCTGATTTCCCAAATTCATTCAAGAGTATCTAGTTTGATTGCTGATTCAAAGTGATTCATAGACCTAACTGAAAAAACCAATGATTTGAATTAAATATCAATCTAATCTTTGCAGTCATATTTAATAATTGCCATCTTAATTGAGTAGCACAACATAGAAAATTCTTTACATGCTATAATCTCTTTTTCAGAATTTTACCATATTGGTTGCAATGAGAAAATACTATCTCTTAATTTTAGGCGGGGATATGTAATCAATATTTTACACGAGCTCAAGTGAGACATGAGTGGGTTAATACCAGGCAGCAGCATTCTCTTGCATTTTTTCATAGCAGGTCTCATTCAATATGATGAAAGTGAATTTAGCAATTCTTCCCAAAAAAAGAAAAGCATTACAGAAACATTCACATGGATTTCTTACTGTAATAGTGATTGATATTTAGTTGTGAGATAGCCAAAGCATTTGTATGAATAGTCTTTAATTATACACATATATTCATTATTTCTCCGTGACTTAATTAAATCCTAGAGGATCATAAGGAAACTCCCTTTTGTTGGAGAGTACTTCTAATTTGATGTTAACCAAATCTTTGCAGAGCATAGGGTTTATAATAATATGCTCAAATATAGTATAATAGTTATACCTTTCAGCAAAGCACACTGGTTTATAACAAAAAACAATAGCAGTAAATAAGCAATAAATCAATAAATTGGTGAATGTGCTGAACAATGTTTTTTCCCCGCAGCACTTCCTGAAATTGGGGCACCACAAAGAAGTTCTGTCGGGAGAATCTTCTGAGATGAGTTTAATCTGGTTGGTGGTCCTGCAGATACCTAGGGACCGAGAGAATTTCTCTTTTCCTTGGAAATGTGGATATATCAAGACAAAGCAAGACTCGGCTTAACTTTTTTAGCTTAAACAGAAACATTAAAAAAATTAAATGCTGTAGAAGAATCACTTTAAGGGTAAGTGCTGTTGTACACTTCTACAGCATGTAAATTCTTTTACCTTTACATTGCAGATAAGAGTTAAGCTAATTCTTGCTTGTCTTCATAATATTTCTCAGCTATAGTAACCTAATTTGTGTTAAACCTGTCCAACCTCTCTGTACAAAACTATAATGACTGTCAATAATGGGACCTATATTAGAATATATATGGAGGAAAATAGGTCAAGACAGAAACATAACAGACATTTTTCTACCAAAAGCACACATTTGAAAATTTCAGAAAAGTTCTCATGCAAGGGATAATAATTGATACCAAGAGTTGTTTTATCTCTGTGTTATTCATAATTTATATAAAAAGAAATACTTCTGTGGGGGCAATAAGACGCTTCAAGATCTATCCATGTTGCCCAGTTGCCTTTGTTTTCCATAAGTTTTCATCTCCAGCCAGGAATTGGGAGGGGTAAAGAGTACATTTGTTTTATAGATTTTTTTAAAAGAATGTAACAACAAATGGCATTTAACACATAAATATCCTTATAGGCAATAGCAACATTACCAATCTCACTGGACTCCTAAGGGTGCTCATGGAAATAACATCACTAGAGACTGATGAGGACTTAATAGACACTAATTGCCAATATGGATGCACATATGGACTATACAGCAAGAGTAAAGTCAGCAAGGAAGGCCTTACCATGCTTCAAGAATCTCAAAACCTGTGTACAAATGCCTTTCCTATCAAAAACGAAGCAAATCTTGTACAGTGAAGACTCAGCATGCCCCAATATTTGGGGAATTGGAAAGAGAAGCAGAAATGGTGTGGAATTAAATCAGTAATCTTAATCTTTGCTACTGAACATATGCTACAGTACAGTATGCAGTGCCTAAAAAGAAGCAACAGAAGAGGCTGTTACACTGAAAACCTGGATTTCCATAGATGTCTGACTGATTAGTGATCAAAATACTCAGCCTGATAATGACCTTAAGATTTTATATTCTTAATAAATATAGAGAAGAAAGTTTTTGGATAGAATGGCAGAGGCTTGTGTGCATAAAAAAGTGTTGCCCTGCTATAATCAGTCCTCAGCAATATGAGATAGTTCCAAATGGCTTTGGTATTAGTGATATCAATTACACAGCAAATTTTTACAGAGAGAGTGCAAGTCAGAAGATGAACCTTAGAAGTTACTCCAGGAAAGGACTTGGTACTAGAAAAAACATTAGAAAGAATTCAAAATGAATTAAATTTAAAAAATAAAAAGTGAAAAAAGTCAAAATGGTATAGGACAGTGATGGCGAACCTTTTAGAGACCAAGTGCCCAAACCCCGCCCCCCACCCCCATCCGCGCTCCACCCTGCCTGCTGGGCCATCCACCACCTCCACGGCCCGCCACAGATCACAGCAGCGCCATGGTGACCACACCCTCTGCCCATGCCCCGCAGCATCATCTGCGCGCGATGGGGCACAAGGGTGGAATCTTGTCCCCGCTGCCTGGCTACCATGTCCTTGGAGCTGCTTCGCATGGGCCGCACCTGGGGGTGACTCTCCAGGGGGCTGCTGGTGAGGAGGGGGGCGTGGGAGGAGGAGGGGCTGGGGCAACGGTGCATGTGCCCACAGAGAGGGCTCCGAGTGCCACCTCTGGCACGTGTGCCTTAGGTTCGCCACCACTGGTATAGGACAATATGGTAAACCTCAGACAGAGTAATATTTCCAAACTCAGTATCTTCCAGATGGATCAAGAATTCCATGTCTAAGCCAAGGGATTCTGCGGTTGTAAGAGCTGTACATAGTGGAATAATTTGGTGTAACATAGTTTGGTGTATCAACATTGTGGACTCTTTCTGAATATAGGTATTCCCCAGGTGATGATAGCAATTGACACCAGGAACTCCATCACTAAGTGACATGGTTATAGAGCATGAAATCATGTGGCTGCATCAGTTAACAATGGCAAGGTTGCCATTGTTAAACAAAGATTACATAAATCATTAATCAAGGACATCACATGCTCATGACTTTGGATTCTTTGCTGGTGTCCTTGTTGATTTTGTTTGTGGGAAGCTGGCAGAGAATGTCAGGAATAGCAACTAGGTGACCATGGGTATGTTGCAATGGCTGGAACTCTGAAGCTCCATCCTAAGTGCCCCTCATTCAGCACCATCATAGAGCTGAATGGTCACTGAACCTGTAGAGAATACTGAAAAGAGGAGCACACTTGTGCATATGTATGCTTATAGGTGTGCCTGTTCATAGAGATTCTAGAAGGCATATCCAAAAAAGAAAAAAATGTACATTAATTGAATAACAAATAATTACAATTAATCACTTATAAGCCAAGGTGCACCATTTGCAAACTTAAATGATGCCCATCGGCATATATCAATCATTTTCTCACAAATACGTCTTTCACATAGAGGAGCACACATGCTCCTTCTTCCAAAAGAAACCTCAACAAAGAAAAGGGAATGGAGATAGGATGACTAGAAAGTGTAACTGCACGTGGAAAGGGAAGGAAAGAGACAAGGGGAGACAAACTATGTAGAAAGGGAAAGAGATAACTGAGGGCAGAGGGCAGAAAAGCTTTGTTTCTGTGTTGTAAACAGGTTGAATTCACCAGGCGAACAGCCCTCTCAAGCCCCAATTAATCTTCAGTGCTAATTCTAGAACATTTACATGGCTTAATGCTAATTCCTTTGTTTTCAACAACATTTCCTGTCTTATCAGGGAATACAAGACAATTCCAACATTTCTATCATTCACTTCCCAGTTCATGACTAGTTGACCAAGAAGCTGACTTGTTTTTTATTTTAAATGATAATAGACACTTTGGTGAATAAACAGTTGCTTATTTTAGTTACTTATTGATTAAAATTGTGCCTTAGTTTGATCTGAATACAAATTGAGGACTAACACTGGCCTGCAACCACCTCTGGCTTAGCCTGAGGCAATCTAATGTGTGGTGAAGGTAGTCAATTGCTATCAATTGAGCTGTCAATTGGAAGTGTGTAAAGACTGCTAATTGTTGCCACCAAGTACTAAGCAGAGGTAACTTGAAGCAGTTTGACAGAGTAACAATCCTTGAGAAACTAAGCAGAAGGAAGCTTGTAAATCCCAAAAGTGCACAATGTAAATAATTATTTTCTATTTGATTCTAAATATGAAACAAAGCCCAACCTCTTACTGAAGTTCGGCAAAACAATCTAATAATCCTAAGAGTTACCCTTCTTTTAAAATGCATTTAATAATTATTATCTCACAGAATTCCATATCATCTGGGTGCTGACCCAGTCCACATTGGCTTAATTTCAACAGTTTTATAACATCAAATTTACTGGTGTAGAAATACATAACACTTTTTGGCATTTTATTTGGGAAATGTGCATAAGTGTATTATGGACCAGATACCCATCTTGAAAGCTGACATCAGTTTTGTAAAAAATCAAGTTCTATAGAGAAAAAGTGAACAAGTATCCAATATAAACTCAAATATATGAACATCTATACTATAAGTGCAATTGAATTTGTTTTGGTGTGCAAAGGTATACATATTTAAGCACCCTCTTTTGGACATCATGACCTACAGTACATAAAACAGTACAAGAATGTATTCTTCATTCCAGGTTCCCTAAATTCATGGAGATGTCTGATGCCCCACAAAGAGTGATATGTAGATGTTCTAGATGGAAAGACAGGTGGGTGTGGATTGGTGAATAAATGGCTGAGCATTCTTTCTGCACTATACCTTCTCTCTCTTCCTCTGCTTAAGTATGAGGATGAGAGTGAATTTCCTAAGGTGGAGTAAAATAAAATGAAATTTTGATGTAAATATATTAAATGTAATGTGAAAATGTAAACACAGTGGCTTGATGGAACAGCATTAGCGCTTGCATGCAGCAAAAGCTATGTGATGCGCAGCAGGCATAGTAGAGGCATTAGTTGAAATGGACCAGGTCATGCAATTATTTGGAAAGAAGCTGCTGAGGAGAATAATAAAGTGTGGATACCTGTGTGGATCATAGCTTCCTCCATCTTTATTTCCTGATATAGGAAAATACAAGAGTAACTTTTGTTAGTGTTTAGATTTGGTAAAATCATTCACATGTAGCTTTCCATGCACAGCATCTAATTCCTAATCATAATTTTATGGGGTTATAATCAAGTAAAGAAGCAGTTCAACAAAGATACCTGAATAAGGTATGTTCTGAAATAACTAAAACAGGACAAAAAGATGATTAAGTTACAAGAAAAGGGAAATGTTTATTGGTAAAATAAATGAAACCATAAAAAATGGGAGATAAATCTCCAAGGAACAAACCCATGATTTCTAATTATATTACAGATGATGATAAAAGAATGGCCATCTTGCCCTTTGGGGAGGAAGTGAGAGCTGACTCAGCTGTGCACATCTGTAATAGGAGTTGATGATGTTGTGCAAGGCTGATGCCAATTCAAATTCCTTTCTCCTATTGGCAAGTTTGGGTTGCTATTGCTTTAAGATGTGTAAAAAGAGGCAAGTTTCAGGCTCTGTCCATCTCCCGTAGATTGCCTATTCACCAGAAAGCTCTAAAACCAGCTAAACCAATGCTGGCTGTGGAATTCTGGGAGTTGAAGTCCACATGCCTTAAAATTGTCAAGGTTGAGAAACACTGAGCTAAAGAGACAATGACAATTCAGAGAATATGCAGCATCAAACTAACATTAAGGAACACATATTAAGATCTCATAATCTAACCATCTTAAGACTTGCTTATTTGTAAGATAAAAACAGATGACCTGTGTAGTCATTTATTTTCATTTTACCATACTCTTATTTCAATTTCCCAGTGGATTTTTGGGAGAAAATAACCTAGCCTAATTCATTGATAATGGGTAATTATTGTATAAGGTAGGAGTGATTTCTTAATCTATCCTAGCTTTTTTCACTTGCATTGACAAAAAATGCCAGTCTGTTATAATTAGGTAGAACAAATCTATGGGTAAATAAGGAAATTGCAGGTTTTTCTACTCCTTAGATAAGAGCTGTCAAACGGGCCGGATGCCTCAAGCCGAAACCGTGCCCACCCCATTGCCGGCAATGGAAAAAAAGGCATGATACATCACAACACGTCACGTGACATTGTGAGTTTGACACCCCTGCTTTAGATGATTGAGCCAATCACTGTCTCTCAGTCCAACCCACCTCACAGCGTAGTTGTGGGGAAAATAGGAGAAAGAAATATTAGATATGTTTGTCATCTTGGGTTATTTATAAAAACAATAAAGGTGGGATACAAATAAATAAAAATAAAAATAATTATTTCAATGTTATGTATCATTTATATGTTCAGTGAAATGCATTATTTTCTTGAGCTTGTAAGTCCTTACCTAAAAGTCCTTGTCAGGAACCACGGAGCTGCTCCTTGGAATTATTAGGGGAAACAAAACACAACGTTCCAGTTTTTAAACCATGGGTTGTTACCTGTGTCAAGTCCCTTAGGTCTTGGATTGCACTGCTTATAACCTTGACAACTTCGTAACTCCATTAGCTGAAGGTGTAGCTGGTTCAAAATGCCTCTTTCTACCGTATGTACTGAATTTGTCAGCTGAGCATGGAAATAAATAAATAAATGCTTGCATCTGCAAAAGATGTGAACTTTAAATGATTATGCCTATGCACATGGACTTTCAACAAGTTGTAACTACTTCTCACATTTCTTTGGAACACATATGCAAGGATCCAGAAATATTTTTTGATTTACAACTGTGGTGCAATCTACCTCTGATGATGATAAGTTGTGATGATTGTAAATCAGGTCACCCACATGGCCAATCTGATCTTTTTTGCAGTGGTCGTTACATGAATCAAGGGGCTGTATTTGCCAAAAAGTGGAAGTAAATGCCAGTTTTTGGCAAAATCATCATAAAAGCCAGTTATGTAACCACAGGAGCAAAAAGCTGTAAATGTAGCATACTCAATATGTGACCGTGTGTGTGTGTGTCAGCTCTCATAACTTTGGAACTGGGTTATATCCAGGGAGGTCTGCCATAACTTTGAACAGTCATTAAGCAACTGGTTGTAAGGCAAGCACTACTTGTAATACTTTCTCAGTGCCACATATATCATGTAGTAAGAGAGCTGCAAAGTATACATGACTGTATGCTTGGATCAAAACTTGGATGTGAAGGTGTTTGGGGAGACCAGCTTACATTATTCGGAGTTTCATCAAGACATAAAATGAGATATAATTGGAATGTATTAATAGTGGCTTACACTAAGGTAGTTTCCGACAACTGTATCATTTTTAACATATATTTACCTGATACGGATCAGAATTCATATCAAAATACTCCAAAAATCCTGTAGCAAATTCACAGAAGAGGAAGTTGTGTGTTTCATTTACTGTTCGCAAACACCAGTAAGTGTTGTTGTTGGAGCTTGTACAAGCACAAAATGATCCCACTGTTATAGGGGGGAAAATAAATTTAAACATACATGTATTCACTTCACTTGAGCAAGGGGAATCCATTGATAGTTCCATAAGCATATCACATGCTTCATGCAATGTTACTGCGTATTAGTGGACAATGCTTGTACAAAGTACACATATAGCTTTTACAAGTGCACAAAAACATTTCTGCAACCCATCTTGTAATGTTAGAAAAACAATCTCCTGATGATAAGAGCAGTTTGGAATTCGAATTAGCTACCAGGAGAACTTTCTCTCCTGGGTGTTCTTCAAAGCAGAGCCTAGACAGTCCACCACTGGATGAGTTCAAGCTTTGGATGTCTTGAACTGAGCAATGGATTGGCCCTGTTTGACTATGAGACCTCATCCAAATACATCACTAAGTAGATAATGGATACTGCTAGGTTTCCTAGCACTGTCACATATGTTGCTGTCCCTTTTGCCCACCACCACCTATTTAATCAAGCAAATCTTTATACTCCTATTGGGTCACACAAGATCTCTGGGTTTCATTTACTTTGAAACTGTTTTCACTCAGAAATCTGTAAATTAAATCTAGTCAGTTCAGCTCTAAATGCAATTCTAGTTTGAATTAACATACCCATTTTTAATGAGCTTATTGTCTTTTCCTCTCCTCTCCATATGTGATCCAGAACAAATATGCCCTCCAACTCCCTAAGAGATCACATCAATTCTTATTCCCATGTGCATGCATCTACTGGAAGTGGTTCTCACAGTTCCAGAATGGTGCAGTCTGCCAGTGGTTGTTGTCATGAGTAAAGCAAGTGAGTCCAGGAAGGCTGCATTCGTCTCCTTTCTTCTGGCGCTTTTTCCCTTTCCTTTCTTTTTTTCTCCTCCGATTCTCTTTGAAGAGCTGAAGTTTACCATCCACCTCTTGAGCAGCTTCCCTAATCACTCAAAAATATTTAATAGATGTTAAACAATAGCGTACTTTAATAATCGAGGTTACAATAAACTAAGTTCTATGCACATGTACATTTTTCACAAATGAACTGACAATTGCAATTTGGCTTATAGCCTAGAAACATTATACAGTATTATTTTCCCTGGTTCTGGAAGAGCATCATCAGTGACATTGGCTAAGCTCACTAGTGCTCATGGGAACTACGGTATTATGTAAAATATGCGGATTGCACCAGGTTTTGAGAAATTAATCTGCTTTATCAAACCTCTATGATTTTAGTTTTGCTTTTGTTATTTTTTTTCCCAGAAAAGAAGAACTGGCTTGCTTCACAGTGGAACACAGACATTGCTTCTTAGCTACATTATCTCTGTCATTAAGAATATAAAGACATAAAATCATATTCAGAAATCTGTATGTTTTAAGTATACATATAAACTTAACATAAACTATGCTTCCTGCTGTTATTTATAGCCTGCTTTGTCAATGCTGGAATGTGGTTACTTCTGTTTATTTTCCTATAATAATTACTTAATTAATAACTTAATATGCATTTTTCACAATGGCATTATGCTTTAGAATGGCCCTCCCTAAAATTTAGGCTGATCAACTTGATAACTTCCTTTTAGAAGCTGGTGAACCCTGAAATCTTACAGATGATGATTGGGATATGTTACTTTGCCATATAATCACCATCAGTCAATTGCAGCTTTACTTGGAACAGCTTGCATCTTGCAATAATACCCTTAATACCATAAAAAAACATCTGCCTCTCAGGTCTTTGGGAAGAATTTGATAAAAATGCTAAATTCCAGTCTAAACATCTGCTCATTGCAATCAACCATAAAAATAAAATCCATTGAATTTAGATATATGAAAAATACAAAGGAGACACATTAAAACCTAAGCAGCTCAAACACTAATGGAATAGTGGAATACAAGCAGATAATCACTTTCTTAAAAGAAAGAACACATAAACTAGACCCTGTAAAACATAATTTGTAATTATTTAAAAGGAAGTGGACAGGTTATTTGAAGCTGTAAGTGTGGCCATCTGTGTTTTGAATCTATATCTATCTCTCTTGGCTGGTCAAGGCTTCCTGGGAGATGACTTGCAGTAGTGGTGAATGAGATGGGGTGGTTCTGCAGGCTCTGAAGGATACAGTGGTCTAACCTCTCCTCAATAAACTATGACTAGATCCTATGAAACAGACAATTTCATCCAGTCTCCAATCTTTCCTTTTTTAGAAGGAGGTTGTATTTCAGCAAAGGGCTCTGGAAAAAAAGAATTAAGCTAGAGCTCTTTTGCTTGGTTCAGCTTGATATCTAACCCTTTTTAATGAAGCTATTTGGGGGAGGAGGGTCTTCCTTCTGACCCTCTTTGACCACTTAGTGACCTTGAATACCATCAAATATGTTATTGTTCTGGACTGGCTTAGGGAGAATGGGAGGCACAATATAATGGTGGTTTTTCCTCCAGGAGTGGTTCCAGTTGTTTTGCTGGGGGGACCAGATCTACATGATAGGGTGGCTTAGGGATAGATAGGGATAGAATCAAGATCACGTGAAGTATTAATACCACTTTACAATGACTTGGTAAGGCCACACTTGGAATACTGCATCCAGTTTTGGTCACCATGATGTAAAAAAGATGTTGAGACTCTAGAAAGAGTACAGAGAAGAGCAACAAAGATGATTAGGGGACTGGAGGCTAAAGCATATAAGGAAAGACTGCTGGAATTGGGTATGTCTATTTTAATGAAGAGAAGGACGAGGGGGGACATGATAGCAGTGTTCCAATATCTCAGGGGCTGCCACAAAGAAGAGGGAGTCAAGCTATTTTCCAAGGCATCTGAAGGCAGGACAAGAAGCAACGGATGGAAACTAATCAAGGAGAGAAGCAACCTAGAACTAAGGAGAAACTTCCTGACAGTTAGAACAATTAACCAGTGGAACAACCTGCCTCCAGAAGTGGTGAAATTAACAAGACTCACTTGAATGGATGTAGGTGACTTGTCTTAAGCTTTTCTTGAACTTTTGCCTCCTTTTCTTTGTGATAATAGCTATAAAGAAAGATTATAACATAAAAAGCTTTCTGTAAAATGCCCATTTAAAGCAAAAACATGTCTAATATTTTAAAATCTGTTAATGAGCAGCACTGATTCTATATACAGTGAGGCTCTTTTAAAGAAGCATGGATCTGGGGTAAAAATTTCTTAGATTTCAGAAGCATTTACTTTGACTAGAAAGCTGTGTAGTAATTACTTTTTTATATTAACAATATAAAAAACATGGACTATAGCAATATGGTCCTAAGTTTTGTTCTAAAAATGCTTCTAGGATTACTTACTTCAAAAATCTTCCTGAAATTTAACTATATAAGTAGAACTCCATAAAATAATGAAATTATGAAACAAAATCCAATAAAAGAATACTTTGTCTGACAACACTGTATGACTTCTTTTTGTACATGCTGTCATATTTAGTTACAAAATCAACTTGAGAACAATTAATCTTGCTCCCATGTACATTGGTTTCCAAACTAGTTCATAATATGTAAGTTTTTGAGAAAGTTTTATATACCTCTTTTTGCTACAGTCACATTCATCTGGTTTTCGTCTTTTAAGATGTCCTCTTACTTCTCTTAAATTTTTAATTTTATCCTGGAGAGCTTCAATCTGTAAAAAGAATGACTGGTTTAATAGCAATATTATATACCCAATACTTATATTGTTCATGATAAATCTTCTCATTAAACTGTTTCATATCATTGCTAAATGCATATGAAAATTATTACTGTTCTTTAAACATTCATATGTTACAGCACATCTTGTAGATTGTTGTACATATACACACACCACTGCAAGAACAAGTTCAGACATGGTGAAATGCCACTAAGCAATTATTTTCAAAAGACCGTAAAGTGTTTAGAATGTTCTTTAGTGTGATGTGATTACCACAAGGTATTGACTACTTTTCAGTCTATTTGTTTAGATTCTGTAGTTTTTCCATGCTCCATTTCTTATATTAGTTATTTGAAGTGAACAGAGTTGTTGTTACACAATCCCAATGTGTTTAAAAGTTTCATGTGGGGGAAGACTGCTTTAGGGAATCAAGCCATTGATTCCCATTGTCTGAAGCTGTCTTGTTTGTATCATTAGGATAGGACTACATAGTTTGTCCAAATTAGTATTTTATAAGAAATCACAATGAATGAAAGTGGGGATCTTCAATACAAGAAGAGATACTGGAAGAGAGAGAACCACAGATAAGTCTCATTCTCATTCATATAACATTGAACAATAGTTTACCATTATCTCCAAGAACATATATTGTGCATATCAATATGCAGTAATTTGCACCCAATCCCAATATCATTCCAAATGTTCATTTAATATATATTTTATGATAAATTATTCTGTCTCAAAATACCAGTTCTAATTCTAAATTAAGAAAAAGACCTTCCAACCTCCTTGTCAATGTAGGCTTTGTGATCTTTCCAAGCTCTGGATGAATGATATAGCTCCCTTTCACAATGAATAGAGTCATTTGAAAGAATAAAACATCTGTAAAGAAAGAATGAAGAGAAAAAATAATAAAGTGTGATATAGTTGATAAACCTTGCCCAATCTAAATTCTAGGAATCAACACAGCAATAAAAAAGCGAACAGTAACTATTATTATTGGATTTATAATATCCATATCAGTTAACTGTGGTAAGTGCTTTGTCTAAAAATTTCTATACAGAAAGCAATACCAATGTTTTAGGACAGGGTATCTAAACATTAAATCTGAGCTTATGAACATTGAAGAACACATTCATTTAAAAAAAAAAAGGTATTTGCTTTCAAATATATCTACCTCATTTCCCAGGACTTAAATGATACAAAACTATCCCTAGAATTGTTATTTTTCTCCTACCTTCATCAAATATTTCTCCTACCTTTAAAAGTTCTCTATAATATTGTTTTCTTTATTATGCAAACTAGTCCTATCTCAAGTGTACTATTCTTGTCCTGTTGCTTCCCAGGTATCCTGCATTAAGCATAAAATGCATTTGCCCAAATTTGAATAAAATCCATGCAATCATAAACCTGTTTCAGACCTTCCTGCTCAGTGAGGGAAGTTGAGAAAAGAGGGAATGGCCACACAGGGAAATTGGCAGAAGGGCTTATGTGCTACTCTAGTTTTGATGTTTCAAATCTTCTGTAGTTCTTCTAGATAAATCAAAGCCTCTTTGGCTTTACCATTTGATATTCATCCTCAAATGGAAAACAGACATTCTTTTTGCTCAGAATGTATCTCCTAGGATCTTCTCTTTTCTATCCCTGAAATCCACCCTGGGGCCAGTGATGGGATTCAGCCAGTTCTGCCACTTTGGCAGAACTGGTAGCTAATATTTTTTTTTGCCCAGACCCTGAATGGACTTCTGGAAGCAGCATCCACACAGAGAACCGATTGTTCACATATTTGCCCCCACCCTCTGGAATGAACTACCCCCCGAGATCCGGATGATTCCGGATCTCCTTACTTTCCGCCGCGCCCTCAAGACATGGTTTTTCCAGCAAGCGGGCCTGACCTAGGGAGGATTTTAGGTAGGGATAATTTTAAAAGTATTTTAATCGGAAACACAGCTGGTAATATTTGGTTTTAATTCGGCTTTTATCG